TCCAGGATTAATCATAACATTTCAAACTGTACTGGAAGGTAAAAACGTTTTTGGAAAGTAAAAAATACAAAAGTGATCTTCTACACTATGTAACTTCTTATTATTAAAAAATTATATATAGGCCTATATATATATATTTAATTATTATTATTATTATTATTAATGAGAGTGTGTAAAAACCCATCTTGCAAAACCATGTTTTTACCCAAATGCACTTTGATAAACGTATACTGATTTATATTTTACAGCTTTCCAGGAGTTTCTGTATTTTGCAAATCAATGTATCATAAATGATCAACTCTAAAGGATCATAATCAAATGAGAATCCAAGAAGATACTGGTTAAACAATGAAATTATATACTTTTTGTTAGTTTGTTTGTGTTTATGTTACAATTCCAAAGGTAGCGCTGTACAATACGGTTTCATTTGCTAACATTATTTAATTAATTAGTTAATTTGAACTAACAAGGAGCTACAGCATTTACAGGTACAACGTTTGATTAAAACATTAGTAAATATTAAAATCGCCTTTATCGATGATTAATAAAAGCTCTAGCTGTATTGTTCTTTGTTAGCTCAAAAACTTTTCTTAGAACCTGAAGTGTTCATACGCCAGAGAAAATACCCATCAGAATGATCTGTCCTGTAAAAGCTCTTTTATAATCTTGTTTGACAAGGTACACAAACAGAACACGAAACCACAGACACATTCACTTAAGCTTTGAGCTGATTCTTTGTCTGACAACTTGACCAATCACTTAATTAATGTGGCTAATTAATTGGAGACAGACGACTTAATGATGAACAGGTGATGGACAACAACAAAAGGTGCTTTCCATTATTAAAACAGACACGCAAGCGGGTCAGATTCATTCTGGAGTGACTTAAGTGTGTTTTAAGTTTAGTGTTCTCACGGTTGTTTTGGTAATGCCTCCTAAAAAAGCCTCTGCAGAGCCAGCTGCTGCGATCCCAAAGGATTCTGAGAATGAAATCGCTGAAACAAAACCAGGTTCGTAAGCCATTTTGTGGAGTTTGCCAAGTTTTAAATGAACGCTTGTATGTTCCTATTAGAATTTGTTTTCATATAGCTTCTGTTCCCTTTTCTAAATCTTGTTTCAGATGCTTCTGAAGGCTCCAGCGGTAAGACCGTTGCACGGAAAGTTTCTCCACACCCATCCACGATGGAGATGGTGAAAGAAGCTCTGAAAGAGCTGGACTCCAGAAAGGGTGTTTCGGCTCAGGCCATCCGGGGCTACGTCAAAGAGAAATACACGACTGTGAATGAGACACGGCTGAAGTTTTTGGTGCGACGAACCCTGAACAAAGGCATCGAGACTGGAGTGTTTGTGAGACCTGCGAATTCTGGGACGACAACGACAGGTGCCCAAGGGCGCTTTCGGGTAACTTCCAGTTTCTTATGCCACTTTATGAATCATTGTTAGGAATTCAATACAGTGAAATGGTCCTTGTGTCCTATTTCAGATTGCTGCCAAGACCAAAGCAAAGGAGGCCAAGACGCAGTCAAAAGAAAATGTTGATCCCAATGTACAGAAAGCACCCAAAGCTAAGAAACCCAAGGCAACTAAAGCAGAGGGTCAAGGTAAAGTTTATAGTTTCACACTGAGGAAAGTTTGCTGTAGGATTTACTTTAAAAACCATTCAGTTGGAAATTGCTATTACACATTACCAAGGAATTGGAAAGTAATGCATTGAATTAAATATGAAGCTAAGTAGAATGCCTGAAGTGCTGTTTTCTTGTAAGACCTTAGTCCCTTTAATTGATTTGATCTAAATTTAAACAAACAAATTTAGTTGAACTTAACTAATTTTATTTAGTTACCTTAGTATACAGGAGAGATCCTTAAATGGATTTGCAAATACAGACAGTTGTAAGTTTAATGTTTTAAACTTATCTTTAATATCATCAAATGAGGTGCATCTTCAATAACAGTTTCTTTGGTACAAATGTTTAAAACAAGTGCTTACTTAACATTGCACATTCACAAAATAAAAAAACAAAAATTCAAATGTGGAAAGAGGCCACATTGGGAATCATTAAAACAACAATGCTAAAACTGCATAAAAGTAAAAAACAGTAGTGCTGACTTAACATTGCACAATAATTAATAAAAAAAATTAATGTGGAAACAGGCAACATTACGTTTGTTTGTGAATCATTAAAAGTGCGAAAACTGCACAAATGTTAAAAACAGGAGTGCTGACTTAACATTGCACAATTAATAAAAATGTCATGTAGAAACAGGCAACAGTAGAGTTGTGAATCATAACAATTGTGCTAAAACTGCACAACAAAGTGTTCACATGTCATGCAACAAATTACAATTTGTAAGGGAATTTAAAAATGTTTGAACTACTGATATACAGGTCTTAAATGGAAAATAGTGCAATGTAGGCTGACATCTGGACTAACATTTCATGCTGAGCCTGCACATATTTACAGCAGTGAACTGTTTTTCAGTCCTAGAATTGTGGGGGAGAGCCTTTCAGAATCCATCTGCATAAGAAATTTCTGAACAAATTCATAGTAGTATTTGAGTTCTTTTGGGTATGCCAAATTAAGCACATAGATTGTACCCAGCATCAATGCACAGGCTTGTGCCACAGATCTGATCTGCTCAAGAATCATTACTCCATCAACAATGATTCCAATATCGTCGTAGTCTCCAAGAACGCCTTCCTTTTTAATGACACATATGCCCATGGTGATGTTTTCCAGGTCTTTCAAGAAGTCATCTCTTTGACTGTTCTATATTTAAATAAAAATAAACTGTTATTAGACATTGTTTAGATTCATAACACTTTGACAAGTCTATACAATCAAGGGTAATTAGGACGAAAACTATGACACCCCCTTCCCCATATATATATATATAAGATCGACCAAGAATAGAGAAAAAGAGGCATTGCCAGTGTAATCAATGTGTGGTGTAATTAGTGTTGGTCGACATGACCAAAATCTTAAATCACAATAGGAGTAATTTTTTTTTACGATAACAATATCACGATAGTTACTTTTTGCTTTAAATAAGGTCTTTATAATTTAAAAATTTTTGATACCATAAGAAATTAGCTATGCCCCAACATTTATTTAAAATATATATATTTTATCACATTAAAGATATATCTTATATTGTAATACATAACAATTGTCCTGAAAAAAATATGTAAAAGCAGCATTTAATAATCATGATAATAATTTTATAATATATAATATAATTATCAATAGAATGCTTCAGTGCACACAAGAATGAAGGCTAGACATAAAGAGCTGAGTGTTCTCACACACACACACACACACACACACACACACTGCTCTCTAATAGGACAGACCTCTGTCCTTATCTTCCCCGTCGTTCTATAATGGATGGCCATTCACACAAAGGTCACATACACACTCTGTCAACACTCAGGCACCAGAGACGTCCCTCTGACAAGTGTGTCACGCACAGAAGAATACACTAAATATACACTAAAACACAAGAGAATGACCTCCTATAAAACAGACCAATAAAACAAAGAGACTTCAAAAGCAAAATTACGGCACTTCAGATTGTTTGTCAGCGAGAGCACTTTTTCAGTCGCGCAATTACATGTCATTACCCACATTTTGATTGGACAATAAAATGGACTGACTAAGTTTGGAGTAACGATATAAAAGGCTTAAAACTGGAAGACCGAGATATCTGTCATTACGTAAAGAACATGGTGTTTGCAAAAGTTTGTGAAACAAGTATATTGTTTTAGAAAACCCATAATTTAGGGATTTTATATGAAAAGTAACCTGCTCAACTGCTTGACAAAGAAGGCATGTTGTTAGTTCCCGATCACAACTGTGTTTGAGAAAGAAATTTTTAGGATTTATTTCTGTTCTCTTAGCTTTCTAGCTTGAGCCAGAATACTCATATGAAAGACCTGAACCTGAAATTGTTTGGGGAATATAATTTTCATTCCTGTGTTGATGTATTAGGGGGCCAAGTGTTAGTTTTCTTATTCTTCTTGCCTTGCCATGTGAGTCTATTGCAGCGCTTAGGAAAATGGTGAATTTTGGCACACTTATTAGGATGGACATGAATAGACCACTGGCCAACTTTGAGGTCTCTAGAACCAACTGTACAGCACCACCATCAGTTCAAATATTAACTTTTCTTTTGGTAAAATACTTTGATCGCTTTGTGCTGGAAATTAAAATGTAATTTTATTATGCTTCATTAGCACTATGAGTTGAGGGTATCTGCTAAATTTACTGACAGCGCCACCTACTGTGCACATCATGAAATCCTTAAGGTTGTGCTTATAACTTAATATAAATATAAATAAAACGTATAAATGTTAGTCTGTGGATTCCTTGAGTTCTGCTGAATGCATTTATAGCAATATTGCCAGATGTAGACAAACCGCCCATGCACCATTTTGAGACTTTGTTGTAAATATTGATATCTTTTAAACACTTTGACTTATTGGCACAAAATTTGGTAGGGATCGTTGACAGCATAACCTGAAGGTATGTGAGAAGTCAGAAGGCAGCATCCCTTAGCGTTCCAAAGATATAGAGTTTTTCACCACAATGCTTAGAACTTTTTGAAAATATCGTCCATCATTTGTTTTCTTGGTGTTGTTATAATCCTTGGTTCCTGTATGGATTAATTCAGATAATTATGACTGTAATTTCCTATACCCCAATCATTACATAGCATAACTCTATAAGCGTGCATCGTCACAGTAAACTGTGTAAATGGACCTTACAAACTTTTAATCATTTGTTTTACACATCAATCAAGTTCTTCAGTTTCATACTCTGCCTATCAAATATACCTACTGGGTTTACCTAACTAATCAACGACTTAAACTTAGCTGACTAGACACTGTTCACACTGAATAGCCAGCTAACAGATATAGACTAAATGCCACAAAATTCACATTTTAATACTGAAGGCCGTGCTGGCTTTTAGAAATGTGGCATTTTAATGATACAATATCTGAACTGTAACTGTCTGTGAAATATGTTCCCTTTTAAAAATTTACATACTTTTAAAACATACTTGCTATTCCTTTTCATATACATATTCTAAATCTTGCTTTATGACAAGTCTAACAACAACAACAGCCCTTAACTGTTAAAATCACTGAAACACATGGCCTCTCGTGGCTTTTTGCTTTAGTATAGAGTTGAGAACACAACCTTGAGCAGACACTTCATCTGTTAAAGATGGGATGTTCAGATTTTTGGCTTGAGTAATGACTGAGGAAAATGATAAATCCATATGTGAAGGAAGAGAGGAGTGTGCTGACTGCTGTCTTTTGTGCTGTAAAGGGACGCATGGTAAGAGGAGAGGCTGGCAGGCATTGTTTTAAAGACAAAGATTGGAGTAGGGGGTGGGGTGGGACACTTGAGGAATGTGCTTTGTGCTCTTCCTCAAAAGATAAAGGCTCCTGGAGCACACAGACACGCAACTAAGACAGACAATCATTGACCCCAAAAACTTCATGCAGCAACATATAATTTACTGAAGCATTCAGAAGAGCTTACCACAATAAGGACAATTATAATCTCTTATCCACTCTCCCACCCTAATAATATGGACCCACCAAACAAACTATTTGACAATAGTTTCTAATGTATGCTTCCGGTTTCAGTTTCTTGCAGATTAACAACTTGGATCCTAAAGGTTTCAAACGCAGCCTCAGAAATTTTTTTTAATGTCAAAAAGGCTGTCAATATTTCAGAATCAAATACATGTATTTATTTATTTATATTCTGAAATAGGCAGCTTTTTATAAATTTAAAAAGCATTTTTGAGGCTGCATTTGATTCTGACTTACAAAATAAGAAAATAGCATATTTTTGTGACAACACCCTACACCAGGGACCCTCAAATCTGGCCCACGAGATCCACTTTCCTGCAGAGTTTAGCTCTGACCCTAATCAAACGCACCTGAGCATGCTAATCAATGTCTTCAGGATCATTAGACAATCACAGGTAGCTGAGTTTGATCAGGGTTGGAGCTAAACTCTGCAGCGCATTGGTCCTCCAGGGCAAGATTTGAGGAACCCTGCCCTACACTCTCAGAAAAAAAGGTACAAAAGCTGTCACTGGGGCGGTACCTTTTTAAAAGGTACACTTTTGTACCTTTTAGGTACTAATATGTACACTTTAGGTATTAATATGTACCTTTAAGGTACCAATATGGACTCTTTAGGTACAAAGTTGTGCCTTTTGAAGAGGTACCACCCCAGTGACAACTTTTTGTGCCTTTTTTTCTGAGCGTGTACCCTGAAATCTTATTACTGTGATAGAGAGATAAAAATAAATGCATACATGCATACATACATACATTTTCATGCATGTCAATTTTAGTTCAATTATTGTGTCTAGACCAGAGATCGACCAATATTATTTTTTGCATTTGTTTGTTTATTATATACAAGTTTATGATAACTGGTATTCAGAATGTGTATTTTAAATGCTATTAAATTTTAATTTTGATCAATATTAAATACATAACCATTGAAATATTTGATCAATACAACACATGCATTATATTATTATATTATTATGTTTTGTTGTTATTGTTGTTCATATTTATTGTAGATTTGTTTTAGGATATGTCTTGAAATGCTACTTGTTTGTCAGTTTAGAAAAACTAACAACTGATTGATCAGAAAAGTGTGAATATCTTTTGAGAGGTTAAACAAATTATTCGTGCATCTCTTGTTGGTACAGTGATTTTCATCCGTGTACTCCATTTCAGTAATGAGAGTCTAAGGATAATTATCTTTGAGAACATATTATAGATAATTAGCTATGAGAATTAGAAACAAACTTACACGTAAACCATCAAGGCGCATTACATTAATGCATTTCAGGGGGAAATGCTGGTAATTGTCATTAAAAGAATGTAAACAATCTTAATTGTTCTAAATTACTCTTTTGATTTTGTGATTTTCATGAGATTCACCAAATACCACAGAGTGCCAGATGTGTTTGCAAAAACGGGATAAATAAACTTACAAAAACACAAGCAAGGAAGCTGCAACATGGCAGGGGAAAAAAAGAGAAGTCGTAAGAAGATGGAAGGTTTAAGTCAAGGACATTTTCAAGGAGTCTTGGGAAAGAACTGGTTCTTTCTTCTGAAGGGATTGTGGACAAGAGATCCATTGGTGTAGAGACACAGACGGGGGAGGGGAACTCTAAGCCCCACTCCCAAATCTCACTCGCACCTCTGCCGAGCAGAGAAGGTCATTGTATCTTCAGGGAGGAATGCTTAAAACAAGAATGTCCAAGAAATCGGATCACCTCAAAACAATTATGGAAATATGCATCCGTCAGGTGTGTGTGTGTGCGAGTTTGAGTGTGTGTGTGAGTGAGTGTGTGTGTGTGTGTGTGAGTGTGTGTGTGTGTGTGAGTGAGAGAGTGTGTGTGTGTGTGTGTGAGTGTGTGTGTGTGTGTGAGTGAGAGAGTGTGTGTGTGTGTGTGTGAGTGTGTGTGTGTGTGTGAGTGAGAGAGTGTGTGTGTGTGTGTGTGAGTGTGTGTGTGTGTGTGAGTGAGAGAGTGTGTGTGTGTGTGTGTGAGTGTGTGTGTGTGTGTGAGTGAGAGAGTGTGTGTGTGTGTGTGTGAGTGTGTGTGTGTGTGTGAGTGAGAGAGTGTGTGTGTGTGTGTGTGTGCGTGTGTGTGTGTGTGTGTGTGTGTACTGGTTTATATATTCTGGTGGGGACTTAAACCTGACTACACACAGACTCATGGGAACTCGTGTCACGGTGGGGACCTAAATTGAGGTCCCCACGAGTAAACAAGCTCATAAATCACACAGAATGAAGTTTTTTGAAAATCTAAAAATGCAGAAAGTCTCCTGTGAGGGGTAGGTTTAGGGGTAGGGTTGGTGTAGGGCAATAGAATATACGGTCTGTACAGTATAACAACCATTACGCCTATGGAGAGTCCCCATAAACCATAAAAACAAACCTGTGTGTGTGTGTGTGTGCAGACAGCGGCATATTCAGTCACAGATAAAAGGATCAGGGAGGAAGGTTTAGGGGTAGGGTTGGTGTAGGGCAATAGAATATACGGTCTGTACAGTATAACAACCATTACGCCTATGGAGAGTCCCCATAAACCATAAAAACAAACCTGTGTGTGTGTGTGTGCAGACAGCGGCATATTCAGTCACAGATAAAAGGATCAGGGAGGGATTTGAGAGAGAGAGAGTTTGCGAAACGGGAAGAGAGCAAGAATTAAAAGGGTCATATCTACTTAGGTCAACTTAGAATGTTTGTGAAGGATTTTAGGTGCCAAGAACAGGCACAATTTAGTTTTCATGACCATTTTTGCACTCTCTCTGACCCTTAGAATTAAAAAGACATCTTAATTCAACAGCTTGTCTTTTTTGCTGTGCCTTGAAAGTTTAAGTAAATGTGCTCTTCAACTTCTCCTTTGCTGTGCTTACAGGTTGAGTCCAGTTTTGCTGCCCTACCTTTTGGTAGCACCCTCTTTGTAAATCTGCATAACACTGCAAAATGAAAAAACTAAAACAAACTTCAGTCTGAAATGTTCCACTCAAAGGGTGAAGATCAGACTGAAATCTTAAAAGTAAACTTTAGCCAAATTTCCCCCATTTTGGATCCTTCAAAAGGTTCTGCAGAGCGGAAGGTGCTACACACAAATTTTGACAGACTTTACTACATTGCACTTTTATCAATACTTCTGGTATTTCTGAATATTGGCATATATAATACTTTCTCCTTACCTCACAGGTGCATCACATTTACCATTATCAGCTCATTTTTGCAGACAAAATCAAGTAATTTAATAGGAATCCATGCCATTGGGATTTCCCAATGCAGATTTTCAAGTTGGTGTTACATTGATTCACCACGTTTACTGACAGAAAGCTGCTTGGTTTAAAAGTGACTTCTGTTTGAGCGTTGCTTCATATATCGCTATATTGATAATGGACAAATGACTTTATGCCTACAAAATTTCGCTAATGTGACCACACCTTCACTTTCAATTAATGCTCTTTTTGGATTAGGGAGGACATCTTATTAAACTCTTTATAATCAAGAGAAGGACCCACTCTATATTAAGTGTCTTTAACTACTATGTACTTACGTTTAAATTAATCATTTGACACAAAGCACTTAAACATAACACTGCTGATCAGTAAGATTTTGAATGTTTTTTAAAGAAGTCTCTCATGCTCATCAAGGCTGCATTTATGATGGTTTTAATGTGTGAGAGGATCATATTTTTTTCTCCTCTATTTGATTACATATCACTTTATGTTTGTACAGTATTGTGTAATTTGGTATGTTGATTGGGTGTCTCAATGTTTGCGCTGGTTGATCATGCGACTTAGATCAAGATGACTCCTAGTATTGTTAGCGTGGCATTGACAATAGTCAACATGTGACCGAAACGTTTGCCTGGTTTCTTTCAGTAAACTTTCTGCATATGATTTTTGGTGGAGTGTGCAAACTTTATTCATGCATTTTATTTTTTGGAAATATTTTTGGTTTTCCAAACCCAAACGCACCTCGTTTGGATGATTTTGAAGGCGCTGTGAGTTTCTGGTTGTTTTTAAAAAAAAAGAAACAAAAATGTATTGACCCCAAACTTTTGAACGATAGTGGTATATTGTTACTAAAGGTTTCTATTTTGAATAAATGCAGTTCTTTTTAACTTCTTATTCATCAAAGAATCCTGAAAAAAATATAACCGGGTCCAAAAAAAAAGAAAGTATATTAAGCTGCAAAAACTGTTTTACCATTGATAATAAATCAGCATATTAGAATGATTTCTGAAGGATCATGTGACACTAAAGACTGTAGTAACAGCTGATGAAAATGCAGCTGTTATCACAAGAATAAATTATATTTTTAATTATATTAAAATTAAAAATATATATATATTTTAAATTGCAATAATATTTCACAATATTATTGTTTTTTCTGGGTTTTTGATCAAATAAATGCAGCCTTGATAAGCAGAAGAGACTTCTAAAAAAAAAAAAATCTAAAATCTTACTGATCTCAAACTTTTGAGCTGCAGTGTTTTTACAATGTCCTTACATTTCAAAATACCTTCCTGTAATTAATTTCTGTCATCACATCTGTAATTACACTATCATTCCTACCCTTAAAACTGAACCCACACGTAAACCTGACCCTAACCTTAACCGTATCCCATGCAATTCAAGATGAGCATTGTATACATTGTACCTAAAAAGATTTTCACATAAGTAAATAGTAGTGAAAGACATCTAAGTAGGACCCAATAATACTGTGATTCCTGGTGTTATTAAAAGAGAAGAAGCTAAGAAATCTATTCAAAACGAGACTAAATGTATACTTTTTATTGTAACGGAAACACAGATTACACTGACAAAGGAAATTAATCTTTTTACATAAATCCAGATACATTTATGCAAAAAAAAAAAAAAAAAGAGGCAATAGAATAAAAGTCCCTGGTTTGTTCTTGTGGCTCTCCAATGTGAAGACCAAATCCTCCTACACACAAACCCTTGCGTGGTATGAGAGGGTGGCTTCTGGATCTTGTGGTGAGTTGATGGACACCAGCTTCAAGTTGGTGAGTCAAACCAGCACAACATTCCCGTAATAAACAACACAGTATGGCACACGTTCAAAGGTCGTTCAAAGGCCAGTCAAGTGTTGCAGATTTAAATGTGTGTGTGTGTGTGTGCGTATACATGTGTGTGTGTGTGTGCATGTGTGTGTATATATATATATGTGTGTGTGTGTGTGTGTGTGTGAGAGAGTGTGTGTGTGTGTGTGAGTGTGTATATAAGCACATACATTTCTCATATTTTGTCCACCAATGGAACTTCTGCCTCATTCTCTTCAAAAAAAAAAGTGCCAAGACTTCTGTGCTCGTTTTTCTTATTGCCGCTCACATACACACACTCACACACTGAGTGCATCATTTAAAAACAAAATACCAATTACTTGGCACTTAGTGTGTGTGAGCATGTGACCGTTCACGCACAGTCTGCAATCAGATACTTGTATCCAAATTCTCGTGATATAAAGGTCTCATATTTCTCATCTTTTGCTGTATATCCTCCACCAGTCTCTTCAGTATGAAAGTCTCCTTTAGAAAAATACTCTACAAAAATGGAAATACGTCATCACTGTCTTTGCATCGAGACGTGTTTTGGGTTACATCATGTGGCTCCCCAAAAAATGTTGAAATGTTGGAGGTAACATCCCTACGAGAGCCGCTTGATATCACAAATGACGCTTTGTAATATTAGTGGGATTACAGTGATAGTTCCAGCGGGTTCCTGGACTGGTTCCCTTTAGGTAGTCTTGGAAGCAAGTAAGCCATCCTGATCCTTAAGTGACCCGGTAAAAAAGGAAGTAGAAATGTTCCTGATTGTGAGTGTGTAGGTTACATGAAGGTTCTCAGGCAAACTCAGCAAGCATCTGTGTGTGTGTGTGGACGCTTCACTCAGTAAAGCACATTCCCTGGAGTTTGGTTTTGAATCCCAAGAGCCTCGATGCTGGACAGAATCTTCTTCTGATGACCAGCCAGAGTTATTCCCAAACGCAGCAGATCCCTGACAGATGGAAGTGTAGGTTACATGAAGGTTCTCAGGCAAACTCAGCAAGCATCTGTGTGTGTGTGTGTGGACGCTTCACTCAGTAAAGCACATTCCCTGGAGTTTGGTTTTGAATCCCGAGAGCCTCGATGCTGGACAGAATCTTCTTCTGATGACCAGCCAGAGTTATTCCCAAACGCAGCAGATCCCTGACAGATGGAAGGAGAGAGAGAGAGAGAGAGGATAAAGACCTTAGCTTTTAAAATAACTGCAGACATGAGCATAGAAACGATTATATTATGGTGTTTACATCTTTAAAAAAGAATAAGGATATATATATAAATATACATTACGGTTCAAACGTTTGGGGGGCAAGGATGCATTACATTGATCAAAAGTGACTTTACAAATTATTTCCAAATCAATTCAAAGCAGCAAATCAGCATATTAGAATGATTTCTGAAGATCATGTGACACTGAAGACTGCAGTAATGATGCTGAAAATACAGCTGCGCATCACAGGAATAAAATACTTTTCAAATACACCCAAACAGAAAACAGTTCTTTTAAAAAGATAATTAAATTGATATATTTTTAATCAAATGCAGCCTGGGTGAAGACACTTCTTTCAAAAACATTTAAAAAGGTAATAATATAATATAATATAATATAATAATATTTTTTATTATTATTCATTATACAATTTTTTTTAATACTATTATTTATTTATTTATTCCCTGATAAAACAGATTTTGTTCATTTAAGTGAGTAAATTAAATTAATATGTTCTAGGGACAAATTATATATTAATGAAAATATATGTATAATGTTTATTCAAATGCACCCTTGGTGAACTTAAGGGGCTTATATATATATATATAATTACCAACTCCAAACTTTTTAATAATGTAATGTAATGTAATAATATAATATATAATTTTTTGTTTCTAGGTTTTTTATTTTCATGAATTTGATTGCAAATTAATTTATTTATTCTTCAAGTATAATAAAAAAAAACCGTCCTTGTAATTAAGCTCTACTTGTATTTTGCTGTCTATTATACCTGGTTTATATCCATAAACTTTACAAATGAGCGATGTTGTTGAGTGAAGGTGCTGTTATCTTCACTCACTCTGTGGTGATGTGTGCGAGCAGCTGCATGGATGTGTAACCGGCCTGCAGAAAGCTCTCCTCGTAACGCTCCATCTTAATGGCCCTGAGCCAATCAGCCACTGTCCCACAGGACGCGGGCGTCAGCGGCGAGCGCTGGTCTAACAGCGGGTGAGAGGGTCTGAGGAGCAAGAGAGAGCCAAGCGCATGTAAGATGACGTCTTGAGTCGGCCTGTAGAAAGACTGCCAGAGAGAGGAAGACTCTGACTGCTTTCCCTCGAGGAGATACTGAGTCTTGATTGACAGACTGACAGGCCAACATGCTGAGAGGGGCGGGGCAAGACTAACATACAAGAGGTGCACGAGAGCCAAGCTAACCAAGTGATGGACGGAGTGAAATGCAACTAAAGCTTAAACAGGAACTGCTATGCTCTTGATTGACAAGCATTGTTGGGTAAATGCATTGCTGAAATCACATGTGACGAGGTTTGGACTATTCTTCAGTAATTTCGTTACTGTCTAACATTGATTTTTTGGGGTTGACACAGTAACATAAAACCATCGGCAACAGAACTAAATCATGAAGTGTCCTAGAATTAGTTTGATTCTAAATCAAGACCTCAATGGGGAATCTGATACATGCTTTGCATATAAAAAAGTAGTACAAATGTAGATTTATGTTCGAGTCTCAGCTCCAGAGTTAATTATTCATTAATGACGTCATCAGTGACTAGTCGATTTCGACTCGACTTTCATCACATAAAAGTCGACTTTAAAAAGTCAGAAGTCGTTCAACCCCTGTTTTTGGTCCTCTTGCTGTGGCTCTTTGACATAACTGGAATAATAAGTGATATAGTGCTGTAATGGATATTAAACGTACCCTGCCCCCTCCTGCGCGGTGATTTTAAGCGAGGCAGGATTGCGAATGAGCTTGTCGAGTGCTGAGACGATGTTGGAAAAGCGTGGCCGTGCCGTCCGCTCCTTCTGCCAGCAGTCCAACATCAGCTGGTGCAGGTGAGTGGGACAGTCGGGAGGCGGCGGCAGCCGGTAATCCTGCTCAATGGCATTAATCACCTGATTGGGTAAAAAGAGACTATGTTTTACAGATTTTCCTGAAAATGCATGTATAATGTCAATATTAGCACTTTATAGCTTCATTTTAGCTTTATTCTGAGAAGGCTGGTAAGATTTTTTCTTCTGCTCACCAAAGCTGCATTTATTTGATCAAAAATACAGTAAAAATAGAAATATTGTGAAATATTTTTAGAATTTAAAATCGCTGTTTTCTATGTGAATATCTGTTAAACTGTAATTTATTGCTGTGATCATTTCTTCATTACTCCAGTGTCACATGATCCTTCAGAAATCATTCTAATTTGCTGATCAAGAAACATTTCTGATTATTATCAATGTTGAAAACACTTGTGCTGCACAATATTTTTGCGAAAACCGTGATGCATTTTTTTCCCAGGATTGTTTGATGAACAGAAAAAATTATATTCTTTTGTAAGATTAAAAATGTCTTTACTGTCACTTTTGATCAATGCAACCTTGCTGAGTAAAAGTATTAATTTCTTCAACAACAACAACAATTTTATTGGCACCACACTTTTGAACAATAGTGTAACGGAAAGCAATATCTGCAAACATTTCGGCTATTGTCCATAACAAAAATAACCATCTGGACAAGATTTCTACTGCATCTCTGATTTCATTTAAAGTTAAACTTAATGTAAAACAAAATGCAATCACAATAAAATGTCAAACATGCAAACACCTACATCCTGGTTGCTCATGTCCCAGTACGGCCGCTCTCCGAACGACATCACTTCCCACATGACGATGCCGTAACTCCACACATCTGACGCGGAGGTGAATTTACGGAAAGCAATGGCCTCGGGTGCCGTCCAACGAATCGGAATTTTTCCGCCCTAAAAAAGGCATTTCGGGATAAATCATGACGCTTGCATTGCTAGACATGCTCGGTTGCATTGTTTCCCCCCTATAATACTGAGTTCATGTGAAGTACTTCTCATTGCGTACCAGTGAGCTGGTGTAGGTAGGATCAGATGAATTCTCCTGCAGGAATCTCGACAGACCGAAGTCGGACACCTTGCAGACCAGGTTACTGTTGACAAGAATGTTCCGTGCGGCAAGATCACGATGCACGTAGCTCATTTCCGAGAGATATTTCATTCCCGACGCGATGCCGCGCAGCATCCCGACTAACTGTATCGGAGTGAACTGGCCGTCGTTGAGCTAGAGAAAAAGAAAGATCTGTGTCAGACGGTCCTCGTTATCATTTATTTCATGATATCAAAATTATATATATATATATGCTGCTGTCCCTTTAAGACTGAATGAATGTAATATACTGACACATATCCGGTGTTTACCTGTTTACGTTCACTTAAGCCATAAGCGACTGTATTTACATGAGATACTCCACACGATGGAGATTTTGACAGCTGTGTGTGTATTTGACAATTAAGGCGCAAGGAGAACTGATTGCAGAACTGGGATCACGCAGACGCGCGGCCAAGAGACATTCTGTCGTGCTATTCAGCGTGATTCTGTCCCGTCTTCACTTACTGCATGTTAATCGATAACGAATCGTGATTGGATGGTAATTATGTTCTACGACAAGCTTGGTTACCTTTGATTAGGCTGTTCTCGTGTGACAAGACTTCTACTACTTGCCCTGATCACCCAGTCTTAAAGAAATGTTGAAATACGGGACAAAACATGATTTTTTTCAAAATAAGTCAGGACACTAAAAATAGAGCTGAAATACGGGACTGTCCCGGGAAAAACGAGGCGTCTGGTCACCCTAGTCCTCGTGCACGAGAGCCAGTGAGATCAGCGCATACTCACTCTCAGGAAGGAGTCCAGAGCTCCGTTCTCCATGAACTCGGTGAGGATCATGACGGGGCAGCTGGCTGTTATTATGCCTTCCATGTGGATGATGTTGGGGTGCTGGAACTGGCCCATGATTGAGGCCTCGGACAGAAAGTCCCGCCTTTGCTTGTCTGTGTATCCACCCTTAAGAGTCTTAATGGCAACGTAGTTCTCCTTCTTACCCGGAATCCTCAGCCGTCCACGACACACTTCTCCAAACTCGCCTGAGAACGGCAAAACAAGGGACTCAGCTTTTGGGAATCTTTTCATCCAAATCATTTTTTAGTCCTAACAACAGTTGTGACTGTAATAAGCCATGAGTAACAAAACAAGACTTTTTTGGGGGGTTGCTTGGTGTCTATTTTTGTGAAATCTCATAACTATATTAAACTTGTTTAATAATTGTGACCCTGTCTGTGAAATCCAGGCTAAAGTCTCAAAATCGTAAACCATCAAAGTTTGATTTCGACCATTAATTTCACACTGATTTCAATCTTTGACATGGTCCTACTCAGTCAATATTAAAGATATAAAGGTTATATTTTCACAGAATGTTCTACATCTTTATGAAGGATGATTTTATGTAGAAAACAATAAATCACAAAAAAAACGACATTAGCTGGGTTTTCACAGGCAGGGTCACAATTGATGAAATTTGCAACATTGACGCAGTTGAACTGAAATGAAACAACACTGAACTAAATTGAGCTGAATATTTCTGCTGAAACTGGCATAACTGATGAACTTTGCAACAGTTATTAAACTGAACTGAAACAACATTATTCAGCAATATAATTCAATATAATATAATTCAGCAATTTAGTTCAAACGACTGCTTAACAGCTGAAATGTATGCATTTTTACTGTTATTGCTTTGAAACTCTGTATTCTATAAAGCATTACATAAATAATAACGTGACTTGAATGCACATTAAGACTGGAGTTCACAATATTACGCTTTTATTATATCTTTCAAATGACTGAAACCAAATACTTGACTTTAATATCTGAAATGGAAATATGTCCAGTAGAAGAAAAGCTAACACTTTCTACGAAGCCTGTATTTATAATACCTTATAAGAGCATTATTAATACATTTTAAAAAAGTATTATACAGTATGTTGTATCATCTCATAAGTAATCATAACAACAACCATTTTAATGCATTACAATATTTACTTATTTGTGGTTATAGCTTTTAAGATTATGATGATTTATAATAAACAATGAACACAATGCATCCACTTAACTTACAATGGATTATATTTCTCATAGTTATAATGTATTATAAGTTTCATATCTTGCCATTGTTAACTCGTTACTCTACTTAAAGCAGACAAAGACCACTTATAAATAATAACAACAATAATAATTATTTTTTTCTTATACAGCCATAAGATCAGATATCTGAATGTCTTATTTGTGGTTATAGCTTTTAAGATTATGATGATTTATAATAAACAATGAACACAATGCATCCACTTAACTTACAATGGATTATATTTCTCATAGTTATAATGTATTATAAGTATCATATCTTGCCATTGTTAACTTGTTACTTTACTTAAAGCAGACAAAGACCACTTATAAATAATAACAACTATAATAATAATTTTTTTTTTTCTTATACAGCCATAAGATCAGATATCTGAATGTGTAATATGGCACATTTGATTTGAACTATATTTATTGTAATATCAGTAAGATACTGTGCAGATCTTAAATAAATAAATGTCAAGATATGAGACTTATAATGCACTGTAAATTTATTGTGTGTTATAAATAATCATACTCATAAAAGTTATAACCACAAATAAGTTATTGTCATTATGTTGACATGAAACAACATATTCGAAGTTTATTTTTATAATGCATTATGCATTCATTATAATGCCTTAAGAATACCCTTATAATGTGTTATAAAACACAGAAGAAAGTCTGTGAGCGAGTAAGTCTTACCTGCCCCGATAACCTCCTCGATTTTGACACACGAGACATCAATCTCCTTAGCAAACTCTCTCACGGCCTCATTAGGGTCTTCGTAAGTGAATGGATCGATGTAAACTTTCACTCCTTAGAGGGAAAAATGTCAGTTACTCCATTAATCAAAAAACCCACAACTTAACCGGAATGCATAATTACAGTAAGATGCCGTGTGTGTGTGTTTCTGCGCTCACCGTGACCCATGAGATACTGGCCATTTTTGTCACTCGTTTCTGCATCTTTGAAATGACTTTGCTTCCTGTGAACAGAAAACGGATAGTTGATGTCAATGTCTGCTGCGAGATCTAAACTTCTTTCAATGCCAAACACTGGTGAACATCACACAACGTGTGCAAGAGCAGTCTAACATGCATATTCACATTTAAGCTTTCTAGATATTAATGGCCATTTTCAGGACTAGGGAAAAACCCACAGCAGAGGCTTCAAGCTATTAGTCATTTCACAGCTGAGTGAGTTAACGTTTGACTTAACGTGTGATGCTCTTCAGTTCAATTAGTCTGTTTCCACATCCCAAATCACCAAGTGCTGGTTTGATGCTCGTCTAGCAGGTTGACCGTGTTGTTGGCCACTTAGCAAGGACTTTTTGGCTGACTGACCATGGAAGTCTTGCTGGTTAAGCTAGTTATTAAACCAGGTTGGAGCACTAGCTCACCAGCATCTATATCCTTAGTGGCTTTACACCATCAGGTTTAATGGGAGAAATGCCAAACCCAATGTACTGCTGTTGGGTCTCGCTAAGGATGGAAGATACCACTTATTTTGTTTTCGATATGATACCGATACTTTTAAAGGCCAGTATCGGCAATACCGATACCAATACGATACTTCTAAACCGAACTTTTAAATTATTAAATTATTAAATTTCTAAGAGTAAAATGGGTAATGATACCCACTTAACTATATTTGAAATGCATTTTAACATTCAATATGCCTTAATTGCAATTTAAGTTATATTTTTGTTTATACGTGGTTAAAATAATGCTTACTGTTGAAATCTACAAATAGTATAGTTGAACTACGGTCACTTTAGTAAAACCATGGTTCATTTCCATAATGGACTGCCAGTGACAGACTGGTGCAGGCATAAAATGCAACCGCTTATTCTGACAGTGCATTATTTATATTAACATTACAGATTAGAACATGATCAATATGAACTTTTAATGTTCAATCTAAATAAATGCAATTGCACCAATTATGTAGGCTACAATTTCAATTTGTTTATTGTGAAATATCTCAAACAAATGTTTTTTTTCTGTCCTCATTGTTCTGGGCTGCCGTTCCCAAAAGCGTCAATGGTTTCTTATGATACTTTTGGGAAACGCAGCCCTGTTTGAATGAGCGAACGCTCTCTGTGATTGATTAGCATAAAGTTATAAGAATGGTCCATAAACATTACTTTAAGAACATTTTAACATATATAACTTTTAAAAAAAATGTTACATTGGTGTGAACGTCCCCTGTTCCCTATTGACTGCATGGATCGCATGTAAAACTGTGAAAAAGCTTCATAAAAATGGCTGATTAGTTAAGAAATGTTAATTCTAAAAGCATTTGGTTCAATAGTAAAATGCATTACCCAATCATTGTGTATTCCATGTGAGGATTGTGTTGTTAGCTTAGCCACATGCTAATGTCAGATTGCATCAATTGGGAGTCAGGTTTTCTTTAAACTTTGTGTGCAATCTGTAGTTTTTTAGCAAGGCTGGAAAAATCCTTGACACTGGAAGCCTGTTGTGTCATGCCTGTTCTGGGCACAGTGTGAGGCTTTATGCTTGTTTTGTTTCATGTTTGTTTTTGTCCTGTGCGGTCATATTACTCTGAGCAAAGAATGAACTGAATGCACACAAAATCCCTTTCTCCACCCCATTCTTCCTCTTCTTGTGTCTCTGTTTCTCACCTCAGGCTCCTATGCCTTATTCAGACCGTCTCATCGTGTATTATACTCTAACGCCGTCTTAAATTACTCAGGTTGTTCAAGCCCGTTCTCCTTGTCATTCTTGTTATTTTCTTCTCTCCCTTTTCACTGAATGTCCTTCTCGTTCCTTCTTTGTGCTTTGGACTTGTGGACACTTGCTTATGACCCTAAACTGTATTCAGAGGACCTCACTTGTTTGTGACTTAAGGTTAAAAGGAGAAGGGGGACTTCAGTGTTTTTTTTTATATTAAGGCATTTTAGGAGAAACATCTAAAACAAAAGTTAATATTTTAGATGAAAACATGACTGAGAACATCAGTGCTTTTAAATAGCAACACATTTTTTCCACATCTATCTTTCTCCCTGATTTCCCAGGACTAAAATAGCTGTGTTTGTCCCACCCACTGCTGATGGCAGGTCTGGACCGGAGGCTTCCAGTGAGTGTGTGTGTGTGTGTGTGTGTGTGAGATTGATTGTAGGGACTCTCCGTTTAACTGGGTGTCAAAGTTTGTATATGTAATGTGTGCAAATGTGAACGATATATGTAAACCACTAAACAGGCACGCTCCTGTAATCTTAGCTGTGCATACGTGGCCATACATACATCCCATTTATCAGCAATCTGAGTCTGAGTGTCCACTGGAGTGTAAGAATGTAAAAAAGTTTGTTCATTGTGTAGGTACACTTGCGCTTAAAGAAGTGTGTGTGTGTGTGTGTGTGTGTGTGTGAGTGTGTGTGAGTGAGTGTGTGAGTGTGTGTGTGTGTGTTACCCCAGGGTCACGACTATTGTTCTGCTGATTTGGCCTGTGGAGACTGGGGTGGGAAAACTGTATCCTGTCTCCACTTCCCCTTTCTACTCTCTCCTCTCTCTCTCTCAATTCCCACAAATTCATGAAGCTGAAATAACTGTTAGGACAGCCCGATCACTTTGGAAATGTACATTAGGTCTTTCGGCTCAAACAGGCTGGTGTACAAAGGGCTAGAGGCAAATTAAGTCATTGTCACTTCTAGATATTCCATTTAATTAGGTCCACACAGAATTACCAGAATATATATATATATATACTGTAGCTTAATATGTTTATTTCAGTTTTAGTTTCAGCAATTTTAGTATTTCTACTTAAAATTATTTTATTTCAGCTAACTGCCAAGGCAACATTTCCATTTTTTTAAAAAGATTTTTAAGTTTCTTTTAATCAAATGTTTATATTTTATTTTTATTATTTTAATTGCAGGAAATGATTTCTAATCGTTTAGTCAGTGTTATTTTAGTATCATTAATATACTATTATAGTTTTTGCTAATATTTTAAATTGTATTTTATTTTAATATTTTCTGTTTTCGTTTAAATTTTAGTTCAAGTTTCAGTATTTTTGTTTGTTGTTGTCATTTGTATTAGTTTTTCTAATATATTTATATAGTTTTTATTAGATTTTAGTTTTAGTTTATTTAGTTGTAGTTATTTCAGTACTTTACAAACATGAGAAATGTTGCTTTGGCAGCTAGCTAAAATAAATGTTTAATAATAATAATAATATGTTTGAGTTTTTACATTTTGTTTTTATTTCATTTAATGTTAATTTTATTTCAAGTAACAATTTTTGTTTTGTTTTTGAAAAGTTTTAGTTAACGATAATAACCCTGGTTTTAGTTTTAGTTAACAATATCAACACTGGTCATTCGTGCAAAAAGAATGACTATTTCCAAACAGGTTTCCCAAACTCATGCATTACTCAATAAAACAGGTAGTGCTAAAACCATACTATTAATTGAGCCAGATGACACAATAAATGTTTGAATGCAATGATGTGAAAGTGTCACAAAGTCAGTGTTCAGGTCATTAACCTACAAAGAGCTTACAGTTGCCTCTCATTATCCCAGGATAAGACAAAGTATCTCAACATTGAAAACAGCACATTCAACTATATGTGTTCGACTCTGCTGACATTTCTAGTTTTAGTGGTTGCTGAAAGCATTATTAAAAATAGCCTAAATATTTAATAAGCAAACATGCAGTGGACAGGGCACGAGTGAATGACGGCTGTTCAATTCTGTGGAAATCTCCTGAGCTTTCTGCACTCACAGTTTCCACACAGGCCCAATTATAACAACCTCACACTCTCTTTTTCTTGTTGGTCTCTTGTTGTACCTTATACAGTAGATCGCAGCAGCAATGACGATGATGAGGAGCAGCATGCCCATGGCTATAAGGATCCCGGTAACAAGCAGCGGAGACGAGGAATCATCTTCTAGGGAAACAGAGAGAGGCACACAGCCAGAGTGAGAGAGAGATGGGTTAAAAACAGAAAAAGGTGCGATACAATCTAAAAAATAAAAATAATAAAAAAATAAAAATGGCTTCGATCTACACAAGGAGGGAAAAAAAAATCAATAAACCGCCTTCTCAAACAAAACTCTAGGGAACAAAAAGTTGGGCACTAATAAACGACCACAACACTGAGCTGACGCCTCCGACTAGAGCTTTTCTTACCGTCAGGAAGGGTCCGAAAGACGACAGCCTGACTGAAGCTGCCGTAGCCGGCCAAGGTGCGAGCGCGGACCTGAACCTCATACTGCGTCGCCCTGCGCAGATCACTCAACACCACCTCGTTGATATTGCTCTCCATATAATGACAGGCGTTCTCCTCAGAGCCGCGCTCCTGTCAAAGGAACACAGACACCAATATCTTCCATTAAAATCGTTTAGTCGATACTTAGTCGAATGGAGACAGAGAAACAGGGAGAGGTCATAAAAATAGAGGAGAGGGCAGAGAAAACGGAGGTATAAAAACAATGAGAAATCACATTATTCTGAGTAAATGCTGTGTGCTCTTTGAAACCAGTGTGAGACGTCTTGAGTGCAAGTAAAAGACGTGACGAGCATAAGTAAAAGCACTTAAATGAATTGCATTATGGTTTACATTTTTATTAAATGCAATTAGCTGACCTTAAAGGGTTAGTTCACCCAAAATGGAAAATTGGCTTGTGTTTTACTCACCCTCGAAGCATCCTAGGTGTATATGACTTTCTTCTTTCAGACGAATCCAGTCGGAGTTATATTAAAAATTGTCCTGGCTCTTCCAAGCTCTATCATTGCAGTCAGCGGGTGTTGCAGTGCTTCAGTCCACAAGAAGTCAAATAAAGCTCGCGCATTCATAATAAAACATGCTTCACACGGCTCCGGGGGATGAATAAAGGCCTTCTGTAGTGAATCCATGAGTTTTTGTAAGAAAAATATCCATATTTCAAAAGTAATAAACACTTTTATATCACTTCCACCAACTGTCATACGCGGAAGCCGTGCCGGCGGATGTCATAGCACGTCGGCGTTGCGTGATTAGTGACGAACGCGGAGAGACAATAAAATGAATTAGAAGTACAAACCGAAGATTTGCAAAGAAAAATCTCGGAGGATTTCGATATAAACCAAGAGGAGACTGGTTTTCCTTTGCTAAAGTAAGGAAACTTTGCTTCCTTTGCTCCTATTAAACAAACTCGCGAGACTAGCATTTCTCAGAGGCGCGCGCGCTGCGCATACGTCATACACCTTCCACCAGATACCGGAAGTGAGAGAAAAGTGTTTATTACGTTTAAATATGGATATTTTTCTTACAAAAACTCATGGATTCGCTACAGAAGGCCTTCATTCATCCCCCGGAGCCGTGTGAAGCACATTTTATTATGAATGCGCGAGCTTTATTTGACGACTTGTGGACTGAAGCACTGCAACACCCGCTGACTGCAATGATAGAGCTTGGAAGAGCCAGGACAATTTTTAATATAACTCCGACTGGATTCGTCTGAAAGAAGAAAGTCATATACACCTAGGATGCTTCAGGGGTGAGTAAAACACAAGCTAATTTTCATTTTTGGGTGAACTAACCCTTTAAGAGTGCTTTTTGACCCACTTCAGTACATCTTTATATGCACATTTCCTTGTCTTTGCAGGGACAAGCATTTGTGGCAAACTAAAATATCCTTTAATGCCATTTCTATAGAAACTTGCATTTAAATATATTTGTAAGTACACATTTGTAATAAAGACGTTGCAATTTAGTTCATTTTAAATATATTAACTTTAAATGTTATATCGAATAACACACCAGAGTTAAAATAATAATCAAGTGTTTTACATGTGCTTTAGTGTGTTAGTCAACATATCAAAATACGTGCACTTCTTTAAAGCACCACACAATTATTAAAACAATGATTTAAAATGTAATTTAATTTGACACTTAAAAAAAAAAAGTTTCTTAAAATTTTAAGTTTATTTTAAGTTTCTAAACTTTTTTTTAAAGTGTACTTTTTAAAGATTTTTAGATTTCTTATAAAATATATAAGATAAGAATATAGATTTTTTTTAAATATTTGAAATGCACTACAAGTGCACATTCAATACAATTAAGTGCACTTCAAATATGGTGTAGTATAGACTAGTATAGTAGTTTTTATGTAGTAGTAGTTTTCTTCTCACAGTAGCATTTGTGGTAAACTAAAATATACTTTAATATTATTCCTATTGAAACTTGCATGTCCTGTATTAAAATATATTTGTATTTACATATTTGTAATGAAGCTGCAATTTAGTACATTTAAAATATATTAACTTTAAATGTAGCATCAAACACATTAAGGTAAAAATTATAATTAAGTGTAGTCAACACATCAAAATAAGTGCACGGCAAAATATTATGAAAACAATGATTTCAAATGCACTTTAAAATAAAATTTTTATTTGGCATAATTACAAAGTGAAGTCTACTTAAGTGTGTTAAGAAACGTCTCTCTTTAAGTACGCTTAAGTGGCCTTTTATTCCATTAATAATATATTATCTGCAATACAGTTTATTAAAAATATACTTAAAAGAATTAAAGTTCACTACAAGTGCACACCGAAAACACTTAAGCGCACTTCTAGTATGGTGTAGTATTTACCTTCTCACAGTAGCGTAGCTGGTACTGGAGGATCCTGTAGTGTGATTGGGTCGGTGTGTTCCAGTGCAGCGTCAGGCTGGATTCTGTGGCTGTGATCTTCCTCAAACCCGACACCAGTACAGGAACTACACACACACACACACACACACACACACACACACACACACACACACAAGCAATTAACACTCAACTAAAACAACAGCATTCAATCATGTGCACCTTCGCTGTCTCTCTGTGTCTCACCGTTGGGGCTGGTGGTGATGTTGATGGTCTCCCCCGCGGGCCCCTGCTGACTCAGAGGAGAGACCCCGTTGAGGGCCATCACGGTAAAGCTGTAGGTGGTGTGAGGTCGGAGACCCCAGATGCTCGCGCGCCGGCCCTGGATCCCAGTCTGGGACGGCCGGTAATTCACACCATCCCCGCAAGGGGCGCAGGGGCCCCTGGGGGCCGGGCACATTCGACACTCCACACTGTAGGTGAGGTCCGATCGGCCCCCGCTGTCTAACGGTTCGCTCCATTCCAGCGTGAGAGAGGTGTCATTGACCTGGGGAACAGGGCTGCGCGGGGACGAGGGCGGACCTGAACAGGACGACAAACACAGGACGTTTGATTCAACTGGATGACACGTCTGTAATACCCAGAATGCAACATAAAAACCAATGTAGTATTCAATGTAGATCACAAGGAAATGAAAAGAGGAGGGAAAGCAGACTAATACGGGGTTAAAGGAAGTCAGAGAGAGGGGAGTTTAACCCTATAAAGCCTGACATCTAAAAAAAAATCTACTTTTTTGAAATGGAAATGTTTATTTGCATGGTTTTTTTTAAAGCATTATATTTGATACATCAGGCTCATTATAACTCATATAGTATGATATGGTGAGAATATGGAGCTCATATGCAAGGAGGAAAAGACAAAAATATGCAATCTAATGCAGTTGTAAAAAATCTTACTAACCTCAAACTTTAACCCATTCATTTTCAGATGACTCTTCTAGTTTGCTAGCTAAACCAGCACTAACCAGTCTGGACCACCATAGTCTTTTCAGTCCAACAGAGAAACAACAGGTTGTGTGGGAATGAGTGCTGTGTTATCATGTATTAAACAAACACACTTTCCCATCAAATAACCCCCCCCCCCCCACACACACACACACACACACACTTGCCATCTTAAGCACAAACCTCATTTGTCCTTTTGCGTCAACATTTAAACAATCATTTCGACAACAAATCCAAACATTTGCCGGTGTCTATTTCAGTTGATGCTGGTTTGATTCAGGCTTGAAACCGCTTCTGAATCTCTGTGTGGTAAAGTCCGCTGTATGATATGAAATATGATCATGCTCTTCTACATGTTTAGCCACTCAATCACTTAATTATAGTCTCGCGACTGACACAAACACACACTTTCAGCAGAAAAACCCACACGCATTCAGGTTACCCAAGAAACTTTAGTAGCTGTCTTGACATGTACTCACAACACTACACACACACACACACACACGTATGAACGAGCAATGCATAGTCTCATGAGACAGGAACAGACGGGCTTACAGACGAGTTTGCCTGACCAGTTTAATTTCATAATCAGTTCTCCACATCCCTCGTATTGATAGAAACACATCTGGATTTAATTAGCATCAGTTTCACTCCGACCAAAACGTGGTCTGAATTATCCTCCTAGTTAAAGCAACTTTACACTGGTTTGTGTGTGCGTGAAACGTTTCCATAATGAATGTCTGTGAATGAATGTCTACTCGCTGAAGGATAAAGACCTTCGGCCCTCTGGTGGTTTTACAGACACAAAGATGCTATTACTGTTGACATCTACACCAGTGTCTCGTGTTGAGGTGGTGTACTACGGATGGACAGATTTTGAAATGTATCAATTATGAATCTATACCATTTTTAAACAAAATGGTACACTACCATTTAAAGGTTTGGGGTCGGTACAATGTGTGTGTTTTTTTTATTTTGAAAGAAGTCCCTTCTGCTCACCAAAGCTGTATTAGTTTGATTAAAAATACAGTACAAACAGTAATATTGTGAAATATTATTCCAATAATTTAAAATAGTTTTCTATCTGAATATGCCGTAAAATGTAATTTATTGCTGTGATCAATGCTGAATTTTCAGCATGACCCTTCAGAAATCATTTTAATATGCTGATTTTCTGCTCAAGAAACTGATTTTTATAGATGCTGAAAAAAGTTGTGCTGCCAAATATTTTTATGCATTTTTTCAGGAATCTTTGATGAATTGAAAGTTCAAAAGAACAGCATTTATTTGAAAAGTGACATGTCTTTAGTCACTTCTCATCAATTTAATAATAAAATATATTAATAAAAAGCTCATTTTTATTTATTTTTTAATCGTACTGACCTGAAATCGTGCCGAACATTAATGCATCTAACTTCTGAGTACCTTTGCTCAAGGCAAATTTGTGTTTTATAGACACACACCGATTTGAATCCCATCCAAATTGAACGTTTTTCTCGCACAACCTCGGGGGGGAAAAAAATTACTGAACAAATTACTTGCGTTTTTTTCTTTCTAGAGGGTCCTCAGAGAAAACTAATCTTGTCCAGATAGGAATGTCTGTGATTGTGGTATGTTATTGTTTTCACAACTCTTCTCCTCATTTATTTCAAACCTTCACTGAATGCTATAACTAAAGCTAATTTTCTTGTTAAACTGCCTGGAGAACCATTACTTTTTTGCAAGCTTTCTGGGTGGTCCTGCGAGTGCTGCTGGCAACCCAGTCGATGCTAAAAGACAATTACATCGATATACGAGTGTGATCTCAGAACGCGCTCAGAGCAGCGTCAGGTACGATCCTTATCTTTCTTCATTCCTTCCCTTCATTACATACACAATGTGTTAAGTATACGATTTATTAATTGGGTTTCGAGACACACACATTCAGAGCACATGATCTTCTAGAACGCCCAAATCTAGATGACAGACACTCATAATGCGATTATTGAAAAAACAGATAACACTTTACTTAAAGCCTTTATATATAATACATTATAAAAGGAGTTTTAATGCACCTTACAATGCATCGCATGATCTCATGAACCACAGTTATAATGCATTATAATACTTAATCTATTCATTGTTACACCTTTAGAAATTATAATGCATGAAAACACATGAAAACAAACCTTCCGATATTATAATGCATTTAACTTTGGTTACAATTATTTATGGAAAGATATAATGCATTACAATGTACATTATGAATACCTGTATAATGCATTATACATAAAGGCTTTAAGTTAACATAAAACACTACTACACTATATAGATAGAGAGAGAGAGAGAGAGAGAGAGAGAGAGAGAGAGAGAGCAAAGATGCATTAAATTAATAAAAAAATAACAATACATACATTCATAATGTTACAAAAGATTTCGGTTTCAAATAAATGCTGTTCTTTTAAACTTTCTATTTATCAAAGAACAATGTTTTTAACATTGATAATAATCAGAAATGTTTCTCGAGCAGCGAATCAGCATATTATACTGATTTCTGAAGATCATGTGACACTGAAGACTGGAGTAATGATGCTGAAAATACAGCTTTGATCACAGAAATAAATTACAGTTGAGAGAGAGAGAGAGAGAGAGAGAGAGAGAGAGAGAGAGAGCAAAGATGCATTAAATTAATAAAAAAATAACAATACATACATTCAGCCATAACATCACTGACTCAACCGCAGTATATTCACAATTGACAAGAAGAGATTGTACATGTGTGAATCTGCATGTGGTTAATTAGAGTCATTAGTACCGTTCACCACACACACACACACACACACACATCTCGTCTGTCCTCACAGTCCTTCACCTGATAATAATCAGAAATGTTTCTCGAGCAGCGAATCAGCATATTATACTGATTTCTGAAGATCATGTGACACTGAAGACTGGAGTAATGATGCTGAAAATACAGCTTTGATCACAGAAATAAATTACAGTTTAAAATAGAAAACAGTTATTTTAAAAGGTACAAATATTTCATAATATTACTGTTTTTACTGTATTTTTTATCCAATAAATGCAGCTTTGGTGAGCAGAAGAGACTTCTTTCAAAAACATTTAAAAATCTCACCGACCCCAAACTTTTATACTGTGCCATAACATCACTGACTCAACCGCAGTATTTTCACAATTGACAAGAAGAGATTGTACATGTGTGAATCTGCATGTGGTTAATTAGAGTCATTAGTACCGTTCACCACACACACACACACACACACACACATCTCGTCTGTCCTCACAGTCCTTCACCTGTGACCCCGTGACCACACACTCTACGTTCAGCCTTTCACCTGCCCAAAAAACTCCAGTATTCTCTCTTTTATTCCGTTCTTTCTCTTTTTCTCTCTGCTCATACCTAATTGGTCATGTCATTAGAGTGCCTTTGTACTGGACACATCCCTGCCTGCAGGCGCCACTATTATGGCTTTGCACTGCCTTTGTGTGTGTGGGTGTGTGAAAGAAAGGGATGAACAGCAGATGTAGCTTGTTTGAGTGGATGAATGCTGAGTAAGTCATAGAGTGAGTGTGTGTGTGTGTGTGTGTGTGTGAACTCCAGGGGTTCACGCCCACAGAAAGCACAGCTGCAGTGTTTAACAGATGAGTATAGGCTTTAACACCCCACCCAACGCAAGAAACTTCATTAAAGAGCTGAAGTCATTTTTGAAAACTGGGAGGATTTGGACTGATCCACTCCACTGAGAGACGTGATTACTTTAATTAAATAGATCAGTCGTGTCCTTAAATTAATTTTCCCGGTTAAATCCTTTTCCCGGTCAACTTAAGCTAGACCTACACGCATGCAACATATGCTGCCCATTACCACAGAAAACCACTGTGAATGCGAAGGAAAAACGTGTTTGCTGTCATTAACTTACAATAGAAGTCAAACCTGGGTTTTTTTTATTTGCACGAAGCTGTGTCATCATTTTAAATGAAGACTATTTTCTCGGCGGATGAACTTAGTTATGCATTACAATAATTCCAGTTAGTGTCTCATGCAAATACAAGTTATATTTGTGTTTACGTTCTACTTTTGAAACAATGACAATTCAATCATTTATGTACATGTGCCTCAGCTTGTGAAGAAAACACATTTGCATAAATTGAAATTATTTTCTGCCATAATCAAAAGCATATCTTTACACTATTTCAAAAGCGTGGGCCAGTATTTTTTGACAAAAAAATAATACTTTTATTCAGTAAGGACACATTAAATGAATAAAAAGTGAAGGTAAAGACATTTATAATGTTACACAATATTTTTATTTCAAATAAATGTTGTTCTTTTGAGCTTTCTATTCATCAAAGAATCTGTATACATACATATATATATATATATATACTGTATATATAGCAGCACGACTGTTTTCAACATTGATAATAATAATAAATGTTTATTGAGCAGCAAATCAGCATATTATAATGATTTCTGAAGATCATGTGACACTGAAGACTGGAGGAATGATGCTGAAAATACAGCTTTGATCACAGAAATAAAATTACATTTTACAATATATTCACATAGAAAATGGTTATTTTAAATTGTAATAATATTTTACAATAGTAATGTTTTTAATGCAGCCTTTGTGAACATAAGAGACTTCCAACAACACTGAAACATCGCAATTTTTTAATCTTATCGACCCTAAACGTTCTAAAGCAAGTGTATGCCTTGTCTGTGTCACTGTGGTCTTACTCATTCTTCAAAAGATGGCAGACATAAATGCAATCTCACGTAAGGTCTTGTGACCCAAAATATCGGACACATTAAAGACTAACATTTATCAGAAAAGCAATTAATCTGTCATCTGTCATCTATCAGCATGTCACATTAAACGATCAAAGACTGGTGATTTTGCCCTTTGATTAAAGCATGCTTCTGCAATTCATCTGAGAAGGCAATATAGCTGTGTGCGCCGGCTTCAGTCGCTTTGGATAAAAGTGTCTGCCAAATGCAGAAATGTAAATGCGCCCCGGATGCACAGGACTGTAATGTAATAGCGAGTGAAAATGTGTCCAGCCGTAGGACACTGATGAATTACACCGTAATCCTCTCTCCTCATTTCTCCACAGCGAGCGTCTCCACTTCCTCTAGTTTAAACGGCTTTTCTGTGAGACCTTCATCTCACCTCTCACACTCAGTCAGTGTTTTCCCTCCTTCTCAAGTGGCACAGACTTTGTCTAATTCAGTCCCATCTGTCCTTTACGGTCTCTCTGGCCTCTTATCAGGCCAGAGAGTTGTAGCCATTGTCAGTATAAACGTCCTCAAAACTTACTCTTGAAGGTAGAAAATCAGTGTGTGTGTGTGTGTGTGTGCGCGCGTGTGTGAGCGAGTGAGTGAGTGTGTGCGCGCGCGTGTGTGTGCGAGTGTGAGTTTGTTTGTGTGTGTGTGCGTGTGCGTGCATGTGTGTGTGCAAGTGTGCGTGTGCGTGTTTGTGTGTGAGTGTGTGTGTGTGTGTGTGCGCGCGTGTGTGAGCGAGTGAGTGAGTGAGTGAGTGTGTGCGCGCGCGTGTGTGTGCGAGTGTGAGTTTGTTTGTGTGTGTGTGCGTGTGCGTGCATGTGTGTGTGCGTGTTTGTGTGTGAGTGTGTGTGTGCATGCATGCGTGTGTGTGTGCGTGTGTGTGCATGCAAAATATTCAGTATTCGACAGTCTCTTAGGTTCATACATTTGTGACAGTAGTTATAAAGATGGGAGTTTATGCTCAGAATGGCGAACTGCTGTGTGCTGCATACGGTGCACAGTAAGAAAGTGTTTCGTATGCATGGAAAACCCAGTTGACCAGCTACATTTGACAAAATGTGTATCATTCAACCAGAGCACACTGTGAGTCTCCACAATGCAATGTGCTCAACCTGACCTTCAGTCTCCTATGGGACGAACTGGAAGGAAGACCAGCTCTGAATTCTTTATTTTTATATCTTGGTTCACTATTAAATCAGATTGTACGAAACTATTTACTTGCAACATAATTAATGCCACTGTTAGTTAACAAACGATGTTAAACTGAAAATGCTCTGTCATTTTTCATTATCAGATGGTAATAGCAAATACACTACAGTTCAAAAGTTTGGGATCAGTAATATATTTTTTAGATTTAATATATTATTTTTAAATAAATGTTTTCAAAGATATGTATCATGTTACATAAATTTCTATTTCAAATAAATGCTTTAAATAAATAAATTTTTTTTCTTAAAGTCCACATGAAATCAAAATGAAAAAAAAAATGAAATATTTAGAAGTATTTAGAAGATATAAGATATAAGCATTCAAAATGTCTCTCACTTCCGGTTTTGATGACGTCACCCTGCACTTCAGCTTCTCATCAAACTTTGTCCAATCAAATGCTCTCTAGAATCTGAAATGCCCCGCCCCCTACACTATAAATAGACGCTGAAACTGCGGCTGAAATAGGTCACTTGTTCACAGAATTAGTATTTTCTGTACGCTGAATGGCACGTAGTGCACTATATGGGGAATAAGGAATTATTCAGACAGTGTAAATATGCTTTCCATTGGGTCGAAAGAGTCTGGTTTTACGTTGTGTCACGCACACAGTCTGCTCCGGTCCAGAGACACGATATCACGGAGCGGATCACATGCACGAGTTGCGCAGACCACGAAATGTATCAGCCCCATTTGAATTCTACCCAGAATGCTATATTTTATAGCGATTTGGATCAGATTAGGAGGAGAAACGGTTAGAGAGACAGCACGAGAACGAGTAGAAGAGATAACACCGGTGCCCTGCACCGACATAAATGACACAATTTTCAAACGACATCCTCAACATAATTATAATCACTGTTTTCATATTGAAAAATAAAGGGCTAATCTATTAGACTGTGGCTGTCAAAAGCTGTCAAATGCAGCTATTGGCTATTTAAAAAGTGGGCGGGGATGCTCGATATGCCCCGCCCCATCTTCCTGTTTCAGTTTAAATGACGTCACCACATAGCATAACGCTGCATGTGTTAAGGCACTTCGGTGGACCTTTAATTTTCTATTCACCAAAGAATCCTGAAAAACACATTGTGGTTTCCACAAAAATATTCGGCAGCACAACTGTTTCCAGCACTGATAATAATCAGCATATTATACTGATTTCTGATGATTATGTGACACTGAAGACTGGAGGAATGATGCTGAAAATACAGCTGCGCATCACAGAAATACATTAAAATAGAAAACAGCTATTTTAAATTATAATAATATTTTGCAATATTTTACTGTGTATTTATGATCACATCAACACACTGCTTGGTGAGCAGAAGAGATTTTCTTCAAAAAAATATAAAACCCCAAACTAAATGCTACTCCAAGATAGTGACACATTATAGAAGCACAATACACTGAGCAGAGAATCAGCCGTAATGAGTGTAATCATATTCCGTGATGTTTAAATAAGATACATCAAAGAACGGTTTAACTGAACTGAGATTTGGCTAGATTTTTGGCTTCAGAGAAGCCCGTTGTGTTCTCACTCACCTCTACACTCCAGTTCTCCATGGCTGGCCTCGAAGCCCGGCAGGCAAGTGCAGGTGGTGGTGGGCTGGTCCACCCACTGTCCATCTTCCCCGCAGAACATCTTGGGCGATCTGGGATTGGGTCCAGGCTGCTCTGCGTTGGCCACACACTGGCCCACCGCCTCCTGGACCAGCGAGCGCGGAACTGTCTCCGGGAAGACGGATAGCGAGCACGTGAGAGCCGGACACTTCTTTAAGAAGACGCGCACAGATAGAAGTGCCATGCAGGCGCCCTGGGCCTGGAACGCCAAGTAGAATCCACGTTTGGTCAAAGGGCCCAAACGCAGCGTTTTGACATTAAACTTCTTCTCTCCACCTTTGCGCAGCAGGAAGTCCGCGGCCACCGTGTCCACCTAATGGAAGCAGAAATACGGTAAACACTTGTTTAGGAGATCTTTTACATTCCGATTGAGACTAAACGAGAACTGACCTCATAGATATTCAGTGTTTTCCACACATGCATGATTGAGATTAAATAGAGAGAAAGCGGATGTGATCTCACATCACCTCTGTAGACTTCAATAATATCCCAAACTGTACTCAAGAGTGTGATCTCAAACATTTCTCATCAAAGTCTCCCGAGCCCAAATTATGTGCTGTGCTATCTACAGTCATTTTAGGGTTATACTCTCTAAGTACCCTAAGAAGTGCACTTAACTGCACTGAATGTGCATTTGCAATGCACTTCAAATATTTAAAGTATATATATATATATATATAAAAAGTACTTGCAGATAAATTATATTAATGAAATAAAAGGTCACTTAAGTGTACTTAGAATACACCTTCATGTCAAATTTTTAGAAAGTTTTTCTTTAAAGTACATTTTAAATCATTGTTTTAATAATCTTGTCATCATACAAAGCAGTACACTTACTTTGATGTGTTGACTAACATACTAAAGCACATTTAATGTACTTGATTATCATTTTAATTGTAGCCTGTTATTCAATATTACATTAAGTTAATACGTTTTAAATGTACTAAATTGCAACTTCATTATGTGTAATCACAAATATATTTAAATACTTCACATACAAGTTTTCAACAGAAATGACATTAAAGTATATTTTAGTTCACCATAAAGGCTTGTCAGTACATTCAGCATATTTCAAAGACAATAGAAGTAATTATATAAAGAGATGTACTTAAGTCTTTAAGAAGTGGGTCAAAAAGGCACTCTAAAGGTCAGCTAGTTGCATTTAATATTATTCTATAAATTATTTTCATGCAATTAAGTGTCCGAAAACATTAGATACGGTTTGCACTTAAGTATATTCTTTTAACAGATATCATTCCCGTAAACTCTTTTTAAAAGTATGCTAAATGTACTTCTTTTTCACAAAGGTATGTCTACATACCTTTGTGTCTTTTTGATTTCTCAGAAGGAGAAACATTTGAGACTAAATTGATTTGTTAATTAGATACTGAAACTGAAATCTATCAAATGTTCCTTTCAGTCATGTTAATAACGTCTCTCATTTATACGATTTATCATGCGCATTCAAGTGTGTATGATCGTCTGCATGTGTGCACCTTGGTATAGGGGTTCTCCATCCACGCGGGGTGGGTTGCAGTCGCGTCATCCGTGTCGCTCTGGTAGTAGTAAAGGTTGAAGGTCTCTTTGCAGGATCGGTGGTGCGTGATCCGCGATGAGCATTCGATCATGGTGAAGAGCAGCTCCACGTACACCTGCGATGCCTCTTGGCGCTCGATGAGCTTACTGCGCAGCCAGTGACTGGACGAGCCGTCGGCTTGGCAGATCTGATAGGTCCTCACGCTGTTGTTCTCCTCATCTAGACCACTGATCTCCTCCCACTGCACAAACGAAGGAAATCAGTTGCAATAACATACGCTTTGACTGAGGTTTTGCTCGGCATGTAAGGGTCAGACACTGGAGCTGCTGGACTCACCTCAGGTTTAGAGCGAGAGTTTGTCGTCCACTTCAGATCTGATGTCTCCATCTTCGTATTCATCAGGACTTCTGTCACACACAAGATAGAGAGAGCGGGTTGTGTTAAAAATAACTAAATAGATAAATCACCAAAAAAATATGAGATCACAATCTTTAATATTGCCTTGTCGTGTGCTTAATTGTGTGTTTGAAGTGTACTTCACATCTTAAAAGTATGGGTTTGTTCAAGAAAAAAAACTGGACTTTCTTTCTTCTGTTGAACACAAAAGAAGATATTTTGAAGAATGTTGGTAACCAAACAGCTGACAGTAACCATTGACTTCCAAAGTATGGAAACAAATACTGTAGAAGTCAATGGCTACCGTCAACTCTCTGGTTACCAACATTCTTCAAAATATCGTCTTTGTGTTCAGCAGAAGAAAGAAACTCACACAGGTTTGGGACAACTTGAGGTATTATTGAAGTATTATTTATTAAAAGTATATTTTAAAAAACTGTACTTACAGATAATATAATATTAATACAGTAAAAGACCACTTAAGTGCACTTAAGAAACCATCTCTCTTTAACATGCTTCAAGGGATAGTTCACCCTAAAATAGAAGATAGTTTGAAGAATGTGGGTAAACAAACAGTTCTTGGTCCCCTTTGACTTCCAAAGTATGGAAAAAAATACTATAGAAGTCAGTAATAGTATAGAAGTAATTTTAACTGTAGTCCTCATGATGCTTTTTAACTAGTGTGGCTTCACCAGCAGGGTTTCCTTAGTCAACCAGCTTCACCAGAACATTTGTTTTTACCGGTCCACTAACAAAAGCAGCAGCGGCCATTCAAACCCACGGAAATTCATGCAGATCTGCCGTTTTTTCAGCACGATATGACGCGGCAACATCGGAGCAATGACATTTTTCCTCCGAGCACACAGAGGGCAAGGGAAGTTCCCAGAGGTTCGATGGTTTGGTTATCAAATCATGTCCAGCAAAAACAAATCTGGAAGCTATGGGCGTGTTTCTCTCTCATAGCGACTTGCGTAGCTGCGGTATCCCACAAGGAAACCGACGGACATGGGAACAAGGGCACAGCCTAATTTTACACTCGCACACATATACAGTGACAATACAAAATCACTATATAGAGTTTCAACCCAGCGGTGAACGATGGTCATTTAATTTCCAGTGAGCATCCTTCCTTTCATCCATTTCCTCTCTCTCCCTCTCTCTCTTGATTGCATTTTTGCTTGAACTGGCTGTTGGTCATTACTTATTGATGCTGGTGATGGGTTTTAATCAGGCATTCATTCAGTCACCCCCTCCAGACTTCTGCGCACATATCTGGCCTGGGGTTCTTGCTATGGGAGCCGCGCTGGTCATGTGACCACCCGAAGCCACCGCACGGTTCAAACCGGCTTCAATCACAAAGATCCTTTGATCTAAAAATACTACCACCGAATATATTCCCCTCTCTCTCTTTCTCCTGCCGTTATTTGTTCAAACTCCTTTCTTACCCTCGTCTCTGAGGAGGAACACCTTTATTGCATGTGCTTTTCCCACGAGTGTTAGAGTTTAGCATACGGAGATGGAATCGATGCGTTTCTGTCGGTACGTATCTGGGTCGAGACTTGTCTTGGGGTCTAGAAGCTTTCTGTTGGTTTAAACCACAGAAAAGCATCAATGGCAAGAAGAAAAAGATGTTGTTTAAGCACATATGGCTGCAGGGAGAACTCTGGATATGTTCCGAATGGATATTACTTACTGTGCTGTATATACTTTATAATGTGTAATATGTAAAACAGTCAATAACTTCAAACTTTAGTGTGCTGCATTGTTGCTACATGACATCATGTTAAATGTTTAATTGTGTGAGTAAAATTAATCGTTTAAGGTCATGCTGAAATGGCAGTAGCAACAGCTTTTTCTTTCATATTGTGATGTACATCGAAGTAAAACGGATTATTACAAAAGAAAAAATATGTAGGGTGGGGACTTAGTTCTGTCCATTGACTGCTGATTGTCTGAAAGCAAGCTTGCAGTTGATTGTAAGAAAGGGGCGGGGTTTAAGCGATAAATGATTAATGTTAATCACTAAATGATTGAAGAAGTCATCTGAAGATCCAGTTATGACATTTTGATAAAAAATTACAAGGTCAAAACAAATGAAAAAATAAATAAATAATAATAGTAATAAACATGCATTGATGACTATATCAGTGAGGTTTAATAAAAAAACAGATGTGAAACAGGGTGAATTTCCATTTTATGCTGACTTTAAATCCAGTTTTATGCAAAAATGTGTTAACTTAGCAGTTTGAGTAAATGCATAAGTAAAAAAAAAATTGTTAACGAAAACTGAAACCATAAAAAGCTTTTTCATTGCTTCAAATAAAAGAAACATTATCTGAAATAAAATACTAATATATATAACATTTTATTTCATCTAGTTGCCAAGGCAACTTTTCTAATTTTAGTTTAATCAAAGCACTAAAATAGCAAGAACTATTTAACATAATTACATAATTAAAATGTAATAATTATAATGCATTATTTACATTTTAAAATGATCTAAAATAAAATAAATTATAAAAAACTAACTTTTTCTATAATTGTATTTATCATATTTTTGTCTAGTTTAGTTGAAGTGCTAAAATAACTAAAACTACACATTTAATAAAAACTAAAAATATATATAAAAAAATCGAATTTGACATTTTAACAAAAATTTAATAGTATGTAGTAATATAATAGTAGGCTCTGGTTGTATATTCAGCAAGTGTAGTATTTCACCCAAGTATATGGTGTGCACAGAAGACTAGTATACTGCACAGAGTATACATACTGCAAGACACACACCCGATGAGTCTCTGTATGTATCTGGGTCGGAACTTGTCTTGGAGACTGGAAGCTTCCTGCTGCTGGTTTTCACCTCAGAATCGCATCAATATTCAAAATAATAACCAAAAGCCCATATTTGAGCGCGCAGGGCCTCTGGGAGAACACTGGCATGTGCTCTTTCTCACTCAGTGGCACCTCCACACGCTCCTCCCTAACGCAGACATTTCTCCCTCTCGCTTTCATTATTCTCCCCATCACTTTTGCTTTTCCTGCTTTCAGATTTCACATTCCTTTCTTGCCATCCGTCCGGCTCCATTTCTCTGCTCAATAACTCCATATGTCCCCAGCACACTCTTTATCTCTGGGCGCTTCCCTCTATCGCTCGCTCTCCCGCCTCTGATGTCGAGAGGCTGCGGACGGCTGATAACCACCATCCAGCTCGGAGAATCAAAGCGAGCGGCGCCCGGGACGCCGGAGGAGAGGATGAAAGAGGGATGAGAGGGGAAGAGTGCCGGCGAGGGAGGACACAGGGTGGGAGCTTTTGGAGAAGAGGGCAAAAAAAAGAGGGAGAGAGGGATGAGACAGGACGGATAGCTGACGGTGATTTGCCACTGTGAGTGTTGCTCCGAGTTCAGAGGAAAAACTAATTACAGGCTCGTTTACATTAAAATGCACACGCACACGTACACGGGCGAATCTCATGAAACCTGTCGAGAACATGCCCAGCTCATAATTCATCCCACAAATCAATAAAAGATTCAAGAAATTATATGTTGCATAAAAAATGTGAAGCATGCTTTGTTTTTTATTTTGCATTGTGACATTTCTAAAAATGTATTACTTTCGCCCCAAACTCTCATTTGTGTAATATACAAAAAATAGTTCCTGTTATCATTACATATATTAATATTAAAAAACTCACTACTGCAATATAAATCAGGGTTATCACTGTTAAGTCAAATTTAATTCTAAGCAGTAAAATTTCAATACATAAATATACATAAATACATAAAACTTAAACTAAAATAAAAAAAATAAAAAAAATCAACATAAAAAGTAATATTTCAAATAAAAACAAATACAAAAGTACATCAAATTACAAAAAATTTAACGGAAAATAAAATTAAAACAGTAAATATTTTATAAAAATAAAAGTTAATTTAAAATATTAATAGAAATGATAATAGTAATATCAAATTAACACTGACATTTATATTTAGTTTTTATAGTTCATCGTATTTGGTACTAATGGTACTATTTTTGTACTATACTTAAACTGTATAATTGGGGGGGTAAAAATTCTGAATGCATAAATCCAAATGGTTCAAAAAACAAACAAAAAAAAAACGGGGGGGGGTTTTCTTTTACTTTTGTTGTTGGTATGAAATATGACCTGGTGCTTCATCCGTGAAGTGTGCGTGTATGAACACCAGGTTATTGAGGACTACGGTGTGTGATGTGATAGATTGTGGTCTGTTACGGTGTGTGTGTGTGTGTGTGTGTGTGGGCCTGTATGTAATTACAGTGGTCCATATCCTGCCGTCTACTCTATCATAACTTATAATGGGGCAGGAAAAGTTTCTCCTTATGGCTCGCCTTAAAAAATAGGTTAGACACAGCGAGACTCCAAAGTTGACAACAGGATTATCACTCACCTGACACACACGCACACAGACACACACACACATCTGCCCGTGAGTCTCTGGCCTGATATCATCAGTAGCGGCTGCTGTTCTGATGGATTAGGCTCCCGGTGGGCAATTTCTGTCCGAGCCTGCTTGTTTTGTTTTTTTGACCCGTTTAATGCAGTGGTTCCATTTAGATACACCATACCGCACGGCTCTAACATGAAATCTCACCTCAATGCACGTCAGTGAGAAACCTGCAGCAAATTCACAATCACAAGTGAGACTCTTTTACATCTCAGCTGAGTCTCATAGAAAGCAATGCGATCAAATGGAGAGCTAATAGTGACTTCAAGTCGATTTTTGAGAAGAAGACCCCGATTGTCTCATGGGTTGAGTTTCAGAGATCTTAATGTCTCAAACTGCACTCAGATTTGCCAACATACAAAGTCTGCAATCAAAAACCAGAAATTCTAATATGAACATTTGTCATAAAATTCTACAAAGTTATCTGAGGTATGTTCAACAATTGTGTCTTAAGAAAAAGATCTGAGAAATGTGCACTCCGTTATCTCTCCTGAGCTCTGAAAGAGCAACTTCTGAGCAATATAATGCTC